CTACTCTCTGTTTAAAAACAGTGGTGGTTCATTTTGATTTTTACCAAATTTAGAAGATCTGTTGTCTAATCTTTCAGGCTTACCTATTTGAAAAAAAGGCCTCTCTTTGTTCTATGAAGAAAAAGGTATGATGGGGGGGAAGAGAGAGAGAGCGAGCGTGAACATAGGACCACAGACAGAACCTTAGAACCTGCAGCAATAGAAAAAACGCTAAGAAACTGTTCAACCATAGCACTCAAGGCCGGCTTCAGGCACCAGTGAAGGAAGCAGGTGCCTGGGGCAGCCAACAGAAAGGGGCAGCACTCTGTCCGTTATTGGGGTGGCACGTCCAGGTCTTCGGCAGCGGGTCCTTCACTCCCTCTCTTCCTCTTTGGCGGCACTTCGGCGGCAGCAAAATCGGGGGGAGAAGGGGTGTTTGTTTTTTTCTTCGCCGCTTGGGGCGGCAAAAAAGCTGGAGCTGGCCCTGGCCCTGATAGCACTATGTTTTATTCTCGTTTAAGAATTATAGAGATATTAAGCAAAGTATCTTGAAAGCACAGAGTCTAGTCCTGTAAGATGAATGGAAGTTCAGGGCCCAATCCTCTAGCTCTTACTCAACTGAGGCCTGGTCCACACTAACCCCCCACTTCGGACTAAGGTACGCAAATTCAGCTACGTTAATAACGTAGCTGAATTCGAAGTACCTTAGTCCGAACTTACCGCCGGTCCAGACGCGGCAGGCAGGCTCCCCCGTCGATGCCGCGTACTCCTCTCGCCGAGCTGGAGTACCGGCGTCGACGGCGAGCACTTCCGGGATCGATCCGGGATCGATTTATCGCATCTAGACAAGGCGCGATAAATCGATCCCAGAAGATCGATTGCCTGCCGCCGAACCAGGAAGTAAGTGTAGACGTACCCTGAGTACTGACAATGTCCTCAGTGGAATTACTAATATGAATAAAGATTTCATAATCAAGTCCATAACGGCTCAGGGAGATTTTTTTTTTTAAACATACACACACTATTATGTTATGTACTTTTACAAGCCATGAGCCAAATCCTGCTGATCTTAACTCATGCAAGTAGTTCCATTAACTTCAATGGAAGTTAGAAGTATAGAATTACACACATTTCCGGTTGTATCAATCTATACACGATATTCTTATTTAAAACAAAAACATGGAAATATATCCGAGGAGCTAACGTTCAAGTCTAAACAACAGCTCAGTTTGTGATTTGATCCTGGTTTGTGTCAAAAATACAAGATAATATTCTAAAATATAACAGAAAAAGAAATAATTTAGTCCTGAAACTTTAAAAAAAATAAGATTTAAATTTATATAATAAAACTACTATTATCAGCCCTAAATGCAACACTCTTATCTATGAATGGATGGTTAATCTCTTCAGAGCATTTTGTTTACATTATATTGCTATATCTTGGGGAAATAATTCCAAATATTTCTCAGGTAGTGTATGAAACACAGATGTCTCAAAAGTTGTTTCATTCCTTCTCTTTGCTCTGGGGTATTACAAATATAGTATATTATGCTAACTCAAGAGTAAATAGAATCTGATCTCTATTAAAACCGCTGGCATTTTAAAGAGGTACGAGATATTACATTTTAAAAAATTATTATACAAATATGCCAATTAAGTCATAGAATATAATAGTGTACACTCCTCCACATTGAATTTTAAATGATAGAAACTTCTTTAGTACTTTCTGGAAGGAAGCAAAACAAATACTCTCAAAATGAGTACTATACCTTAATTTTAAAAAAGAACATGAAAAGGAAGAAGTATTCCAGCTACAAAGACCACTCCCACTTCTGTAATGTTTTATTATATTGTACTGTCAAATGTTTTTAGATGTTACATTTTTGGGGACAGGAACTGCTACATATATCATCCAGTAGGATCTCCTAAAACAGGGGAGAGGGATAGCTCAGTGGTTTGAGCATTGGCCTGCTAAATCCAGAGTTGCAAGTTCAATCCTTGAGGGGGCCACTTAGGGATCTGAGGCAAAAAAATCAGTACTTGGTACTGCTAGTGAAGGCAGGGGGCTAGACTCAATGACCTTTCAGGGTCCCTTCCAGCTCTATGAGATAGGTAGATCTCCATGTATTATTAAAATCTTGCAGGCAGACCAAAATAACCTCGGTTATTTCTCAAAAAAGAAAATGCAATTCACAATGCTAAAATAATTGTAGAGAAAGTCCTAGAATTTATTAATTCCTTAATTACATTGGAAGAGCATGTTTAACATAGTAAGTTTATTACGTGGTAATTTTTGCTACTAAATAAACAATTCAGTATATTTCCACATTAATTTAACAACTTATTGGTAAGTGCAGACAGAAAGTAATCTGACAGGGCACTATGGCTCCTTTGTGGAGGACTTCTGACTGTTTCAGAGGTTGAGGATGAATTAATTTCTTGTTTATTCCTTTAGGCAAAATATTGATTTAAGAGGTATGACTGCATGACTGGTTAAAGCCCCAAAAGGATAAACAGTGACTAAACCAACAAGTCAAACTTTGAGACACCTAAGTTGCAATAGAAGAATGATCAGTTAATAGATGAAAGATCTGATTTACAAACTAGAAAGATAAGTAGTAGTACACAGTACTTAATAAAGACATTTGTTTGGGAGTAATGTGATTTAAGGTGTGAAATAAATATATATATATCATGAACAAAAGAATTTTCTTAGAACCCATGTTCAAAAATTAAATGGTTGAAAGTCTAGAAATTTAGAGTTAAGGTTCCACAGCTATTTAAGTCTGCCCCTCTTATGCTTCATGGAACATACGTATATTGTAGAGTTTTGTGAAGAAGGAAAGGGAGGGCACCTGACATATGTTGAGAGGCTTTTCCAAATGGTATGGGAAAAGGTATGAAGTTGGCAGAGCAAGGGGACAAAGAACAGTCCTAAGGGAAGCCCAGTGAGGAAGCAGGAGGCGATGTAGGAGAAAATGAGGACAGAGAAATAGGATAGATTTATGAAGGGCTTTGAAATGAAGCAGGAGAAAGGATACACTAGTGCAAAATTTCAAGAAGGGGTAGAAAAAAAAAAGATATGGTCAAAGACACAGGGAAGGGTAAGCAAGCATAATAGAGGGTCTTCCTTTGCACTTTCCCAGTCAGAATCACACTGGTAACAGTGGATGGGACTAATATAGAAATGTTCTTAATTTCAAGGAAAATATTGTCACAGTTAGAGAAATCTGTGCTGGAATGATTAGCTTGACAATATACATTAAATATATATTCATTTGGCACTACTCCAGTTAACAGCCAAAACCCTTCATAGGTGAAACTGAGTGCTGCTGAGACTAGCTACAGTTAAACAAATTAACCATTTGGTTGGCTAAGATCAGTGTATGGCATATTGATGGATGAACATGGGTGTTAGTCAAAAAGCTAAGTGAATGTTAGGAACCACTAGGAAAGGGATAGATAATAAAACAGAAAATATCGTAATACCAATTTATAAACTGGTCATGCACACCTTGAATACTGCGTGTATTTCTGGTCACCTCATCTCAAAAAATATATATTAGAATTGGAAAAGTTACAGAGAAGGGCAACAAACGTGACTGGGGAATGAAACAGTTTCCATATGAGGAGAGACTAAAAAAGACTGGGACTGTTCAAGCTTAGAATAGAGACGACTAAGGGAGGATATGATAGAGGCCTATGAACTCATGAATGGTATGGAGAAAGTGAATAGGGAAGTGTTATTTACCTCTTCACATAACACAAAAACTAAAGGTCACCCAATGAAATTAACAGGCAGCATGTTTAAAACAAACATAAGGAAGTTTTTCACACAATGCACAGTCAACCTGTGGAATCGTTGCCAGGTGATGTTGACAAAGGCCAAACATGTTACTGGGTTAAAAAAAAAAATTAGATACATTCATGGAGCATAGATCCATCAATAGCAATTAGCCAAGATGGTCAGGGACGCAACCTCATGCTCCAGGTGTCCCTAAACCTCCAACTGCTGGCAGCTGGGATTGGCCCTGTTCTGTTCATTCCTCCTGATGCATCTGACACTGGCCACTGTCAGAGACAGATACTGGGGTAGATAGACCATTGGTCTGACCAAACATAGCTATTCTGAACAGCATGTAGAAGGTAATGTATATATTGACCATAGTTGTTAAAGAAAAATGAGTCTCTTTATTGGTTTCACTGTAGGAGAGGATGATCAAGTGCATACAGTCTCACTGATGAGGAAAAACTATGATCAATTCCTACCGGATGTTCAGAACGAAGTCAATCTACCTACCTTACTCCTGAATATAAAGAAGGATTCACCTATTGAGGGGGGATACATTTTCTAATCTTTTCCATTTTAGGCATAATACTATACTCAAGGGCAAAATTTTCAGCTGCTTCATAATGATTGTGTTCCTCCTGTAACTACCTATTGGCATATGCCAACATGGGGTTTTGCAAGTGCAATGGGCACACACAATTTTTCGGAGGCATTCACTCCACACACAATTGAAAAATTAGCCTCCAAATGCCACAATCTGTATATTGAGAGGAAAGTATCTATTTAAAATTCTCATCTCCATCTGCAGGTGACATGATTATAAAGCATGATTATTGAAAACTGCTCAGATTCCAACCAAAAAAATGCCTTCCATTTGGGCCCCTAGAAATTACAGGGTACCTGAAACAATTTTACAGCAGGACCCTTTCTAGGTCAGAACACTGCCAGTTCAAACACTCTTAACCAAACATTTCACATACTGTGCTGACAGTACAAGAAAATGGAAAAGTTGAGATTTGCAGCAATAATAGCTATACATATACATTTTGGCTCTTAATTTAACTTATTCTAAGCATTTTCAAAAAGGATGTATAGAACATAATCGCCACACTATATAATTTAAACTAAGCTCCCATGGACCTTTAGTTTAATTTCTTGGTAAAATGCTGTGCACTATGTACAATATTAATATGCTGTGAAAAGTAAACTATTAAACAGGAATTCTTCTTACTGGTACTTCTTCGCAGCCTCGGATTGTTACCCTCTGCACTGTGTTCATTCCACTTCCACCATCACTCACAGAGATTGAGCTTACTTCGCAGGGACTGCAACTTTGTGTTTCTCGGCACTGGTGGATGATTTGGGGCTGTTCAGAATGCTGGCATACCTGGCTAACCTGGGATTGGTTGGACTGGTGGGAAAACTGGTATTGTTTCTCCTTTAAAAAAAAAAAAATACATAGGGAATTCAACATTATTGTAGAACCAGAGAACATTACTCTCTCTCCAGTACAAAGCCTCTGTATAAATGAATAAAATGAATTCTTGCATGGGAAAACTCAAATGGTAGTTTATGTTGATCAGCTAGGCAAATATTTTAATTATATTATTGAAAATGCCACAAATACATACTTGACATTTAGCATATTACAACATTAATGCAGTATTTGAACAGTGTTGTTGTAGCTGTGTTGGCCCCAGGATATTAGAGAGACAAGGAGGCAGCGTTGCCAACTCTCGTGATTTTGTCATGAGTCTCAAGATGATTATTGCTTTCCTTTAAGACCCAGCTCCTAGAGTCAAGTGGATATGTAATGATTTCAGCCTTCATTCTTAAAGAAAAAGTAAGTTTCTAGCCCTCATGGCTGTGGAGAAAGCTTCAAAATGTGACCCCCTGTGCACCTTAAAGGTTCAAAAAGAAGAAGGCAAATAAGAACACCACATCTATTATTTTTACATACCCATGATTTTTGGTGAGCCTGAGTCATAATTTTTGAACATTTGGGGTTGGCAAATACTGCAAGATGGGTGAGGTAATATATTTTATTGGGCCAACTTCTGTTGGTGAGAGAGATAAGCTTTCGAGTTTACAAAGAGCTCTTCTTCAGGTCTGGGAAACACACCCAGAATATCACAGCTAAATACAAGGTGGAACAGATTGTTTAGCATAAGTAGTTAACACATTTTTCAAGGGACCATTCAAGGTTAATAGGCCACTTCACCTTGAATGATTCCTTGAAATATGTGTTAACTACTTATATTAAATAATCTGTTCCACCTTGTATTTAGCAGTGACACTCTGAAGTCTGGTCTACACTACAGAGTTAGGTTGACACAGAGCAGCTTACGTCGACCTAACTATGGAAGTGTCTACACTTAGGCTATATCTACACTAGCAATTGAATGACAAAACTTTTGTCTTTCAGAGGTGTTTAAAAAAAAAAAAACCTGAAAGACAAAAGTTTTGCCACGACAAGTGCCAGTGTGAACAGCGCGCTGTCGGCAGGAGAGCTCTCCTTCTGACAATGCAAATGCCACTCGTTGGGGGTGAACTTTTTTGGTCGGCAGGAGAGCCGACAAACAGCAGCCACACTGCATGACTTTTAGCAGCACAGCTGTAGCGACACAGCCATGTCGCTAAAAGCTGTGTAGTGTAGACGTAGCCTTAAATTTTGCTCCCGCCAACGTAACTGCCCTGCTACGCCGACTTACTAACTCCACCTCCATGAGCGGCGTAGAGTCAAGGTTGATGCAGTTAGGTCAACGCAGTGTCAGTGTAGACACTGTGTTGCTCACATTGACTGTTACTGGCTTTCAGGAGCTGTCCCACAATGCCCCACGCTGACAGTATAATCGATAAAAGCGTACCTGTTTCGGACGCGGACCACCAACACAAGGAGCCAAGTGCAGATATGCACAAGCAATGTAATTACTGCAGCAACTGTATGCCTACGTAAGTTAGGTCGATTTAATTTTGTAGTGTACACTTGGCCTCAGTTAGTTTCCCAGACCTGAAAAACAGCTCTGTGTAAGCTTGAAAGCTTCTCTCTCTCACCAGCAAAAGCTGGTCCAATAAAAGATATTACCTCACCTACCTTGTCTCTCTAATGTTTGAACACAAACTCCTCAGAATCTTAAGAGTTGAAAATCAAGGGGCTGTGTGATTTGTAATAAATTTTTATATTTTACATATGAGATAAATATTTCAATGAAGTTAGCATTCTTAACATACCCGTTCATGAAATGGTACTTCCACTTGTTTTTTATATTGATATTTAGATTCTATTACTATTCTAACATATGTTCCTTTGACATATCCTGTTATAGTAAGAACCACAGAAGTTAGGAAAAGAGATCAAGTTTGAAAGACTTCTATTTTTTGGCTTTTTCACTGTAGCACAGTTAGTAAGAAAAGTATTTGGAACTGAATTTAATCTGGAGATGGGTCAGTAAATTTGCTTCATGAATTTTCAAGTTTTTGATTTTCACAGTGAACAACGCATAGTGACATCTGCAACATTTTTCACATACACCTCTACCCGATATAACGCTGCCCTCGGGAGCCAAAAAAATCTTACCGCGTTATAGGTGAAACCGCATTATATCGAACTTGCTTTGATCCGACGGAGTGCACAGCCCCGCCCCCCCGGAGCACTGCTTTACCGTGTTATATCTGAATTTGTGTTATATCGGTTCACGTTATATCAGGGTAGAGGTGTATTATGCAGACTACATGATGCCACATCATTTATGTTTTTATAATGCAGGAAAAATGCAACTTTTTTTAATTTATCAAGCATATGAGAGTGACAAGGAAATTGTAAGTAATCTAGAAGCTAGTTTAGGCCACGACTCAACAAAGCACTGCAGCATACACTTAAGTCCCATTGAAGTCAATATACTTCAGCGCTTTGCTGATTTGGGGTCTTATACCTGCAAGTCTAATTTAAATAAATAAGTAATTAAATATTTCCACATATAATGCATTTTAAAAATCACCAGCCCTAGATGCTATGGTTTGTTGTTGTTTCTTAGTACTTTAAATGGAACATTTGAGTTTGTGACTTTTTTTGTAAAATATATTTTTTTTCATGTCCAGTTTTTGTTTTCTTCCTTTTTTCTAGTTTTCCTCTTAAACCATCACTTAAAAAAAAAAAAAAGTCCAAGCATTCCCTCCCCCTATTCCACTCAAAACTTCTCCAACCTTGGAAAAGTTATGCAGGGAGAAGAGACCCTTTATACATACGGTAGTTCTACCGCATTCAGTGGCAAAAAAAAGGAGGAAGAAAACAAAAATCCAAAATTTCACAATTTTTTTTCCAGTTTTTGACCAAGACAAACATTTCATGTTTAAATTGCCATCTTGTTTCAAAGTTTTCTGAGGAAAAATTAAATTAAATCTAATGAAAAATATGTTTTTGATCAAACCCCATTTTTTGGTGGCGAATTTTTTCAACCAGCTTCACCACAATGTAATTGGCCAGAAACAGAGTAAGATTCCAAACAATACCTTTCCTTGTAGTCTTGTTTTTCTAAAATTCATGCAATTTGGAATTATTTCTAGAAGTCAGTGGGACTATCCCCATGCAAATGTAGTTACCAATAAGAGTAAAGGTTCCACAGTCAGGCTCAAAATTATAGTACTAGCAAATAAAGAGGCACAGCAACTCTCAGCTTCAATTTAAAAGGAAGTTTGGGGGGAAAGTTTAACTAACAGGCTGCACGCTTTGTAGTTTCTGGAAGGCCAAGCTCACTGCAAATCCCAGGGGCTCCTTGCATTGTTCCCTCCCCTCCATAAGCTCCCCATGTGCTACCCCATCATCTCCCTCTATTTCATGGACTCCCTGCAATTCCCCTCAATGTCCTTCCTGCCATGGGTTCTGTGTGCTCACTCAGTTCTTTCCTCCTCCAATACCAGGGACCCCATTCTCTCCTCCATGTCAGTTGCTGTGTGCCTCTTTCCCGCACCCCCCATTCACTCCTTGGCAGGGGTTCTGTTTAGCCCTCATTCCCATTTCCTTCCCCCATGCCAGGAGTTCTGTGTGCCCCCCACTCCCTCCATTCCAAGGTCCCTCATTCTCCCCTCCCCATGACAAGAGCTCCCTGTGGGCACCCATTCCCCCGACCATCTGGGAGATAGGTCATTCACTGGGTCAACATCTTAACTCTACTGGGGTATTGTTATAATGGAAGGCATTAATGGGTGCCATCAACCAGTTGTTTGATCTATAGACAACTGCAGAGGTGCTTGAAACTGTTGATCTGCTAAACAGAAGATAGGGGTTCCACATGTACTCCATTTCTCCCCTTTTGATTTCCCCCCAAAATAACAGGGTTCTGACCACAACATTCCCTGAAATTTTGGAACTGATCAGATGTGACATTCAAAAGTTATTGTATTATATACAGACAGACATAGAAATGCCATCGCGTTGAGTGTAGGCCATCGCGAGCTTGGCCAATAGATGTTCCAAATCCTGCTCACCTTACTCCTAAAAGAAATTCCATTGATTTTAAGTAAGGATTTGGCCCTTACGTGTACTAAAACAATTCCATCAGATTTGCTTTAATTTCCAAGAGAAGCAAAAACTTGAGACAGTAGTAGAAAAGTGTTTGTTTTCTTGCACAACAGATTAATATAAATGATATAAGAAATTATTCACCTGTTCAGGATTTAGCAACTCATATTTTCTTATTGTCTTTTCATAGATAACATTATTCCCTGGGCAGTAACTTCCTCCTCTCAGAAATGGAGACAATGGCTCCTGTAACTGTAAAACATTTTTAAAAAAGTGTTAATATACAATTTTGTGGCTATACCACTCCTATTTAGAATTAGCACTATTTTGAATAAAAAGTGTTGGGGTTTTTTTTTCAAAGGAAAGGACAAGAGCAACATATTTAGGTATGATACAGTACTGTGTACACTGAGGTAGTAGCTGAGACACTAAAAGGTCATGTTAATTTTACATGGGGAACAAATATTTAATAATGAGCTCTGCAATATAACAGAGAAAGGCATAACACAATCAAATGGCTGGAAGCTGAAGCTAAAAAAATTTATACTGGAGGAAATAAGGCATGAATTTTAACAGTGAGAGTAATTAACCATTAGAACAGTTTACCAAGGGTCCCGGTGGATCCTCCAGCACTGACAATTTTTAAATCAAGATTGAATATTTTCTTAAAAGATCTGCTCTAAGAATTATTTGGGGGAAGTTCTCTGGCCTGTGTTATACAGGAGGTCTGACTAGATGATCACAATGGTCTCTTCTGGCCTTGGAATCTATAATTTGAGCTCCATAAGGAAGTGAGTTGAATCAGTGGGGCTCAGCTTGTTTCCACTAAAGTCAACAAAAGACTCCCACTGACTTCTGTGAGCCTTGGATCAAGCCCTTAAAGAGTATACAAGATTGGGCTCATTATTATTATCGTTAATAAACTGTGCAAAGATAGGCAGATTATAAAGTGCTAAATCAACTCTGTAGGAGAGAAACTGACCTAAAACACATGTGTTAAGAAGACGACAACTGTTCAGAGTAGACCAGAGCAGAGCACAGATATATAAGTAAGAGGAAGGAAACGAAATACAGCATGGTGACGTATAGCCTTAGCAGAAGGAAGTCTGATTTTGGTTCCTTTGGATGGTCTCTTGAGATACGAGCAGTAATCCTCAGGGCGGCTTGGAGGGGGAGAGCAAGGCAAAAACAAAAAGCATAACTCAGATGGATCCAAGTATTGACTGGTCACTGGGTTTATCTATATAAACACCCACTTCATGGCAAGCTGGGCTGTAAATCTACCTCACACTAGCCTGGTGCGCACTAGCTGTCCATGCTCCACAGCATGCTCTGATCTACCCCTCTACAAGTAGATCAGCACTCCCTTTGGAACTTTTAGTGCATGACGGCACGGTCCAGATGGACAGCTAGTGTGTGGCAGGCTAACGCACGGCAGATTTACCCCCCAGCATACCGTGAACTACATGTTTGTATAGGATATGTCTACACTGCAGTGTAAACCCAGGGTTAGCAGTCTCTGGGTTTGTTAATCTAGAGCATCTACACTTATTTGTAAACTCCAAGTTAGGAATTGTTGAACACGAGGCCCCAAACCGGGGCTCCAACATCTACACTGCATTATGCAGGCCTGAGTTCAACCACCCATATCCCAGACTTCCTAGCACCCTCCCAAAATGGCCACTCTAACCCTTTGTTTGTGGTGCAGTGTGGGAAAATTTGGCTATCCACAAAACCTGACTATCCAGAGAACAAAGAAAGTTTGCCTGTGGGATTGTGGGATACTTTTGGTGGCTTCCCGGAGCACTAGTCCAAAAGGGCGTGAACTCTGGGTCCAAATTTGACTCAGGCTCTGACTCTCCACCCCTGTGGGATCCTGGGAGCCTGGGTTAATGCAATGCGTGTGTAGGTGGAAGGGGGATTAGGTTTGAGCCTGAGTTCAAACCCTGGGCTTACATTGCAGTGACTAAACTTGGGCACCGAACAAAAGGGCACTTTTGAAAATCTGGACCTATTCAACTTGCCCAAAGTCATAACAAAATTCTGTGCCAACGCCATTAATAGAACATAGATCTCCGGTCCTAATCCAGTGCTTGACCGAGATCTTCCTTCCTTTTCCGAGCTAATAAAAAAATATGTTGAGGATTCCCAGGGTTCTGGGCTAGCAACAATACTGTGTCCAGCATATTTTAAAGAACTGGTTGTGGGAGATACTGTTTAATGTAAAGAAGCAGCATTTCTATGGCTGCGGCAGCCACTCTTGAGAGCCAGCCACAGACATTCTTTATCCTAAACACAACTCTGCCACATATTTGGGTTAAGCAGTACTTTAGGGTGGTCTTTAAATAATGAAAATGGCTACACACGTTGTGCTCATGCTAAACCATCTAGGTCCTATTGCCACAATAGTGCACATCTGCTTTCACCCCCAATCACCAGTGCTAGGTTTCATGCAGGTAATTAGGTTTTTTAGCATTATTGAGCATTGTGCACTTTTCCCCACATTATACAGAAGACTTGGGGGAAGGGGCATACATTTGCTGGGCAAAATTAGAATGCTCAGTGCTAGCATTTTCTTTTTTTCAGTTCTTTCATTTGCACATAACACATCAATGGAGTTAGCTTCTGTGCCTTGTCTGCAAAATGCGGGTAAGAATCAAAGCTTATGCAGACTTAATGGGACAAAGCTTCAGCTAGTGTAGATCAGTATAACTCCACTGAACTCAACAGAGCTACACCAATTTATACTAGCTGAAGATATGACTCATAAAGTACTCTCATCTCTACAAATGAAAAGCACTGTAAATACATTATTTATTGTTTTCTTTTCTCAGTCCCTCCCTTTTGAGATGAGAAGCAAAGAAAATCTGTATTTTATTTAAATAGTGAAATGATTGGAACATAAAAATTGCCAGATCAGACCACTAGACCAGTGGTCTCCAAACTTTTTTTGATCGCGCACCCCTATCAGTAAAAAAATTTTGAGCATGCACCACCTGCCGCGCCGGCTCTACCATTTTTGCCAAAGCAAAACAAAAAACAAAAAAACACCTCCTGCCACACACCCCCAAGGATCCTCTTGCGCATCCCACTTTGGAGACCACTGCACTAGACCACCTACTCCAGTATCCCATACCTGACAGCACCAAGTGCTCCAGAGCATAGTGCAATGACAACTGTGAAATAAGATGTTCCCAGGAGAAGTTTCTCCTTTTAATTCGATCATTTTCATTCTCTAAATTCTATAATTAAAAAAAAATTCCTAACAATTGTGTTTGCTTTCATTTGGCAAGTATTTGTTTCCACTTCTTCTTCTAGAGTAGCATCCACATAAATTGACAACTTAAATTCCATGTGTGCACTAGCAACATTTACAACATCAAGGACAGAGCTACAGCCCAAATCTACATTCCTCAAGTAGAGAGACAAGGTGGGTGAGGTAATATATTTTATTGGACCAATTTCCGTTGTTGAGAGAGAGAGAAAGAAGCTTTCGAGCTACACAGAGTTCCAAACCGGAAGAAGACCTCTGTGTAAGCTCAAAAGCTTGTCTCTCTCACCATCAGAAGCTGATCCAATAAAAGATATTACCTCATGCATCTTGTCTCTCTAATATCATGATACAAACATGGCTACAACACCATATTTCTCAAGTAAGCAGAATTCCCACTGAGGTCAGTTTGAGGATTGGGTCTTTTGTTAGTTAACTGTTATAGAGCAGCAGGAATAACTCACAGGTCATGGTCACTTCCTCCCCTAACAACTCAGCAAGGCCAGGAAGATCTTTGTTGCTGTTATCAAAATTTTAAATCGAAGGGGCATTCATCACTAGATAAGAGCAATTCCAAAGTAGGTCAGATATCTAGTTTGGAACTCCCACATCTGTGTTGCACTGTAATAAACAGCCTGCAGCAGTTTTTCAATCCTCCTCCTAAAGAGTGAATCATAACACCAGGAAAAAGAAATCAAAGTAGAAAAGACTCTACTCTAGCTAAGCATCAATTATAGTAATTAGAGAATGTCAAAGTTATGAGTACTGCTGAAGACTTGTCATAGTCTTGATCACATTTTCTCCCCTTTTCATAATTAGGGCCTGATCCTGCAAACTTTCATCATGCAAGTAATCCTATTGAAGTCAAAAGGACTGCTTATATGAGTACACAACATTCAAAAGAAAAGATCATATATAGCTTATAAAGCATAACCATGTTTCCAAATTATCCTAATTTTTAAAGGATCTGGACTATAAACTGAAACACCTACAAATTAACATGTGATTGATTTCTTCACACAAATTTCCCTTCCCAAAGACTGCACACTTTATAGATATATCGTTTTGTTTCTCAGTCTTTGGCTCAAGGTAATTACTTAGGTTGAGATTGCCTCTCTGAGGCAGGGAGCTTCTTTTTTGTTGTGTGTTTGCACAGAGCAAGAAGTTTTGGGCCACTCCTAGGAACTGTGGTAATACAAATAAACAATCGGGAAAAGTTTTGGGGTTTTTTTTTAATACAGAGGTACATACTGTAGTGTGGTGCATTGAAAAATGTATCCTTTTAAGAGACTGGATTATATTTAAAGTAAATAATCTGTTAAAGAGCCTTCAAACCTGCCTAAACTAAATCCACTGCCTCAGGGCTTTGGAATACATCACTCATGCTATTAAGCTCTCTCGCTTGTAACCAGACAGGCCAAACATGCAAAAAAACCAGCAGAAATTGGGCTTGCTTTTGGCTTAATTGGCTTGTGAGTTGCTTGTTGGCTAGTTTTTGGCTTGTAGCTTGTTTGGCTTTTAGCTTGTTGCTTTTTTTTTTTTTTTTTT